CGAGATGTTGGATGGTCAGAAGTACAATAACACGTGTGATGTCTTTGTGATAGTCCAAGATTATAAATTTCGACATATCGGAGCGGTCGAAACACGTAAACAAATCGAAAGGTATGTTCCAATCGAGATTGAATATTGTTATCTTGATTGTCTGGTTGTGATCAAATATCTATCGATTATACTGATGAGAACATTGAAGTAATAAAACAGATAGTGGTAGTAAACAGTATGACGGAGTTTCAGGCACATTTGGAGAAAGAGTTATATCATGGGAAACGGTGGCATTGCGGGGTTTGTTTCAACAAGATTTTCTTTACCGGGGTTAGATAAGGTGTTTCGTTGGTAACCGAACAGACAGAAATCAACGATACATTCAGTAGCAAACATCGTGAAAAGTTAACCGTCTCCTTACTTTTATTGTCTGGAACAAAAGATCAAAGTAGTTTTGACTGTACATAAGCTAGTGTTTATTTGCTTTTTGATCACATTTTTTCATTTGATTTTTAGTTAGTACTCCTTTACACTGTATACACACTTCCATTATCAAATTTTGCACTTTTTCATAGATACTGAACTACTTTCCAAAAGTTATCACTTTTGCGACCTAGTTATACCTTGAACGTACAGTGTTCAGTGTGTTTCGGGTTCTATTAGCTTTACACCAAGGTAAAATTGGTTATATACTCATTAAAGGCACTAGTTCACGCACACACACACACACACATGAAAGTGAAAGCACATTCGCAAATACACACATACATGCAAGTGCATACGCGCATTCACTTGGCGCAGCATTTTCACAAAACCAAATAGTTGACAGAGTGATCACTGAGCCTAAGACCGGTCCGACAGACCAACAGCATCTAAGTCGCTTAAGGTAACCGTGAAGTACGGACTATGGAACAACCGTGTCAGTGTAACGTAAATTTTCTGGGATTATTGGGCGTACAATTTTGGGATCAATTCTATAAAAGGGTGTACTTACGAGAACTCTCAACATGAGATCAATGTACCACGGTTGGATTATGTTGTTGAGAAATCGGTTTGGAGCCCTCCTAATCCGGACTTATAGTCTGATTTGAATGGTCGGATAGCAAAAACGGTAAAACCATGCAAAAAATACTAAATTTAGCATCACTTTGTACCGGCCTTATCAACTTGCCATTCGGTTTCAGCCGTTTTCATATGTCACTGAACCTGTTGGTATATGGTATTTGTATTTTCCGTCTATTACAAATTATTACTGAACCCTCTCCACAGGGAACCACCTGTCCGTCAACGCTTCCGGCCCATGTCAAGACAGCCAAATTTCAGGTTGCTTCATACATCCGTTCACAGGAAACCTCCTGCCGCACACACAAACCAAGCACATTACAATATCAAGGTTAATTTGTCTAAATTTCTACTATGGACAGAATAGCCCACAACTACAGGACACAGCAATAGATGGCCTTCGAATATTTCACTGCTACCGGTTCTGTGCGCAGTGAACAGGTGCATTCAAGGATGCATGGAATGACGAACAACAATGAACGTACGCGTCTATGCACCAAATTTGAAGTTCAGTTATCCCAAATAACTGGCATTTGGAGTTGTACTTTTGGAAATGAAACCGTTAATATGCCAATGAATCAGAGTTTAAACTATAGGGTACTGACACTGTCTGTTCCAATACTACAGTTACGTGACTAATTCTATACATAATCCAAAATGATTTATTAAAGGCGGGTTAGAATAAGATGAAAATATTTAATGCAACCTTATTCGCTCCCGAACTGCGAGGTCATCACGATGATGTTTGAAGAGAAAAATCCTAACGCGTGCATGTTCAAACCTCCGAACAAAGAGAACAGTTTAATTATAACAGTTATTGTCAGTATTTTTCTAAGTTGCTTATCGGTTGAAAAGAAATGATCATTACTCTTGTATAAATGCGATATCTTAAAATATAAATAGGTTAGCAGTGAGAGCTACAAAAAGCGAACTTTGTTGCTTTGACTATGCCACTGGTTGCTCTCTATACTACTGACAGACCCCTATATTAGTCGCCCGATGGAAGTTGAAAGCAAGTTACACATTTCTAAGTAAATGGGATGAAATAAGTAGCTGGGACGAATGTTTAATAAAAATCTATTTTGAAAGAAGTGTTCGAAAGAGCGTCTTAAAGCACATACCCCTGGTATCACCGGTTTCGGAGTACTTGCTTGCGAGGGGTCATTTTGAGGTGGAGCTGCTTGTCTTCGGTATGATAGTACGGAATGCTACAAAGAATTAAAAGGCGTCCCAAAAATAGTGAAGAACATCAGTGAGCAGTGAAAAGCCGACATTAGGATGACACCAACTCATACGCATGTATATGGTATTATACATTTTATAGCACGATGTTTGAAGAATGAAAGAACTCATTCTTTTCAAGTCCTCATGAAGGGAGTTAAAGTGACCGTTCATTCAATAAAGAGATCAATAACAGTTTGAAATAACATTCTCCTTGTAATGGAATATATATCGGCACAAAACAACTAAGGATAACGGTGTCGTGACAGTCTCATTCATGATAATGATTAAATCATGTGAAAACCTGCACCGATTCAAACAGAAAAAGCGATTGTGTGCCTATGATGCATCAGGTGATGCATGTATGAATGAAAAATTTAGTAGATTATTGGATACCTGAAGTTAAGTTTGTACAAATCTCTTGTTGGCAATGTGGTTTCATATTGGTCAAAATAGTTTACAATCCTTGCTGGGTTGCGTAATGAAATTCGGTATATTTTTAGAGGAGTAAAAACCAAAAATGAACGGGTGGAAAGCTTTACGTAATCGTACAAATCGTGCACACTGAAAATCGAAGAGCGTATCTCAGAAGCAAAAATGAGGCATGATAACCGGTCCTCTACACGCTTGAAAACCAAATCCGTTTTTCATAACTTCCGTAAATTATAAAAATCCCTAATTGACTTCAGTTGTCATTTGAGCGTTTGGCTTCTATGAAATGCTTGCAGACGCTAGAGTAATATTTGTGAATAACTTTCGTATCAAGGTTATACACTTTTACTTTCTATGCGAACTTTCTAAGCGAACTGCACTACACCAGGCGTGTACCGTTTTCATCTGAGTGATTTTGGATTTATTGTGGGTTACCGATTTATCTCGTGGAATACCCGACAATATGTGTTCAAATGTAGAAAAAATGACTATGTAATCTGCCAACGTATCATTGGTCCCCGTACCCAGAGTGTTCAATGTGAAGGCTATAATGGCTGGATACACATTGTTTGTGCCAACATTAACCAGGAGGAGTACAAGTTTCTAAACTCGTGCAAATCCAAATTTGTGCAAATTGTGCTCCACGTGTTCTGTGAACCTACGTCGGGACGCCCATACCCCGAAGAAGAGTGAATCTATGTCGGCGATGGATGTAATCGTGATTCATCAACAACTCAGGAATCCCCCTTCACCACCAGCAGTAACATTAACGCCGTCAACCACAAATGGCAGAAGGCGAAGAGATCGTCAGGCAGCTCTGACGAAGGCTCCTAAACCTCCCTGTGGAGAACCCAAGACAACGAAAGCGACTCCACTTTCAATGGCAGTTCAGGTTACCCAAAAAAGAAGCCCCTAAAAGAGTCAAACTCGGATCCGGTGTACCACCAAACATTCAACAGAATGCGAACACGAGTCGAGTCGGCGAGGACGGTACGTGGACAACACCCCGGGGTTCACAATCCTCACCATCGCGCAAAACATGTCTCATTGTTGTGAACCTGCCGGAGTCGAAGGAGCCCGATTCACAGACCAGACTCAACCACGATATCAACCTGCTGTGCGAGACTTTGGGATAGCTATTCATCCCGGGAGAAGGAACCTCGGCAAAAAACATATGTGTAAAGTCAGGGCAGGGGGGGGATCGATTCTAGACCTGGTGATATCGTCAAGGAGTTCCGATGTAGAACGGATCGAGCACCACCCTCCGTTAGGGTGCAGTGACCATATGGTATTGGATATTCGATGGCGGAATGCTACCTACGCACCTCTGGGATTACATGGAGGTCAAAATGTATGGCGCACACAGTTTGATGCGGCACGGGTGGCCGCCATAGCTGTGCCGTGGCTCCCATTGATCCCTCACGAGGTGAATGACGTAGAGTTGTTATGGGAACTCATTTGGAATGGTATCCTTCACCTTACTGACACGTGCGCCCCAGCAACTCGCAGTAGACCGCGAACATTGGAGCCGCCATGGTTTGATCCTGAAGTGCGACGATTACTGCGGCGCCGAAATCGCGCTTGGCGAGGTTTTGGGCCGCCGGTGTAGGATACAACCTCTACCGGAGAATTCGGAACGAGTGCACGGAGTTGAAATGATCCAAGTGGAGGACCTTCGAGGAGAAGCTGGCAGCTGACGCAGTGAAGGCTCCTAAACGCCTAGTTGCTTCTCTAAAGCGACGCACGAGAGCTAGAGCTGGTATCCCAGGGTTGATCGATGGAATTGACACGGTTGACACCAACGAAGGCAAAGCGGAAGCACTGGCCACACATTAAAGCTCAGTATACTCGATAGATGCTGGCTCCCCATCAACAGCAGACAACCACATTCATGTTCACCTTCGAAAAGTTTTCAGAAGGGGAGGTAACAAAAGTGCTCCAGTCGATCAAGAAGAGTCAGTTTCCAGATCCGGATGGTGTTCATCCCTTCATGCTCAAGGAACTGGCGGTCCAACTCTCCCCTCAATTACCTGGCTATTCACCCTGTCAATGCGCTCGGGGAAACTGCCCCAAGAGTGTAAGAAAGCGGTTGTGGTTCCAATTTACAAGGGCAGAACGAAAACTACACCAGGCAACTACCGCCCCGTGAGCCTCACATCGATTGTCGGCAAGACGATGGAACGGTTGATGGTTTCACGACTTACGGATCACCTTGAGCAACACCAGCGGATGTGTAGAGAACAACACGGATTCCGCCGGAGGCATTCTTGCATGACCACTTTGCTGCCTACTCGGGAACGTTGGTATAGAGGCAGGGACGAGGGATATGGTACGGACGTTATCTTCGTTGACTTCAGCAAGGCGTTCGATAAAATATCTCACGACAAGTTGCTCACTAAACTCAGGGCTCTGGGTGCCACAGGGTCCGCAATTCGCTGGCTGGAGGATTTCCTGAAAGGGAGATCCTTCTCAGTGAGAGTTTCACAGGCGCAATCTACGTGGTACACAGTCACCAATGGTGTCCCACAAGGCTCCGTTCTTGGCCCACTGCTGTTCCAGATCTTTGCGAACGACATCCCATCAACGTTGAGTAGCCCGTGCCTAATCTATGCGTACGACCTCAAGCTCTGGCGAACAATCCGGACAAAGACGGACCAGTTTGCTCTTCAGGATGACCTAAATGCTCTGATGAAGTGGCCGAGGGTGTGGCGTTTACCGGTAAATATCTTCAAGTGCGCCCACATGAGGATAAGAGGACACGGTCTCACCACCACCTACCTTCTCAGAAGTACCGTACTCCGGCAATCAACTGAGGAACGGGATTTGTGTGTTGTCGTCACCAGCAACCTGAAAACTCGTTCACAGACAGACAAAGCTTGTGTCTCTGCGTGGAGTACGTTGGGTGCTATCTACCGTTCGTTTGTTCCGTTACCCCTGGCGGCCTTTAAATTGCTGTATGCCTCCCACGTTCGCCCTCGATTGAAATATGGCGGTCCGCGGTCTTTCCTTGCACGGCTTCTGAGGTTGCCAAATGGAGAGAGTTTAAAGGGCTGCTACACGCCTCGTCGAAGGACTAAGTGGAATTAGCTACGGGGGTCGACTGAGTGAAACGGAACTGTTCCCCATGTCATACAGACGATTGAGAGGCAACCTGATCTACACTAGATGCGTCATCCGGGGTGAATTTGGCCCAGAATTGCAGTTGGAACTCCCTCTGAGGAACAACAACCGCATCAGGGGACATGCATCGACGCCCCGCAAGATGCAGTCAAACGGCCTGCCGCTGATCTATCGTCTGTCGAGGAGGGTGACAAATCTTTGGAATGCACTTCCGGAGGATGTGGTGGGTGAGCCAAACGACAGCATCTTCAAGCTAAAACTCGACAGAATTATGCAGGAGCACTGGTCTCTTACCAACATCTAATCAACCCAATGGAGCACAATGAGATGGGGCTAATAAGGGACCTCCCATTG